TCTCTCTCTCTCTCTCTCTCTCTCTCTCTCTCTCTCTCTCTCTCTCTCCCCCCTCTCTCGGCTTACAGATCAAAATGCAGGTCTCAGCTACTGCTTCAGTGCCTGCTTGGATTCCCTCATGCCCCCTGCCATGGTGACCATGGTGTAACGCCCCTGAAACTGTAGGCAAGCCTCCAGTGAAATGCGTTCTCTTACAAAAGTGTCTCCTCACAGCAATAGCAGTGACTAAGGCCGAGTGCTAGGCCAGGAGCACAGTTAGTGCTCCCTGTTGCTGTTATCTGTCTATTCATCCAGTGGCCATGGATTAAACACGGAAATATTCAGGCACTTTATCTTCAACTAAGGACAAGAAGGGGCAAGTCCTAGTTTAGTCTAACTACCCCTTGTCTCCTGCCCTCATTGCGGGAACTTTCGGTGCTCTTCCCAAAAGGAGTTGCTGCCTCCTCCCTCTTTTCAAATTCAATGAATATAGTTACGCTGGAAAATACGTGGAAATGGCGCCGCGCCCACTCTAACTCCAGGGTAGTGGAGGCTGGCGTCCCTGATTTGTAATTTGGCATCCTGAGAGGTCGCTGGCAGAGAAGGGCCACTCGGCAGGGAGCTTAGCGTCTGTGCTGTGGCTCTCATTGCTCATGTCCTTTGGAACCGTGGAGAAGAAGGGACCTGTAACCAGGACACGGTAGTCACTCTCTTCTCCACGGGGCACATGCCTTCCTAGCATTTTCTGGGGGTAACCTATCCTTTGGAAGCTCCCAAAGCATGACCTTCTAATGCTGAGGAGGCATGAGGGAAGGAGGCCGTGCTCACAGTTCTGAGGGCCAGTGGGCCGCTTTTCCACGTAGACCCTTTGAGTCCAAGCATCTGCTGAAATTTATTTATAGGCTCCCTGAAAGGGTCTTGGTTATTCTACTGCAGAAGCCCAGTGTACTGGCTTTAGTCCAGTTTTGGAAAGCTGAAATGTTTGACTCTTTTGTTTTATTTTGGGAGTGTGCTGTACTGGTTGGAATCAAATGAGGAAGTGGTGGATTGTGAGCATGATGCTAGATTTTTAATTTTTAATTTATTTTATGCATGTGGGTGGCTCGGTTGGGCGTTTGATAATCACTTAGTCATTTAGAGATGGTTATTCAGTTATTTAGGTCTTATATCTAGAGAGTTTGCTCATTCCTTTTTAATTTGACCCCATTCTCCCTTGCAGATCCTCTTACTCCCTACAAATGGTCCCCTCTGATCTGTGTCACACAAATTCTATTAACCTCTCTTTCCCCTCTTCCCTTGTTCCTTTCTATCTCTCCTCCCGACACCCCATGGACCCCTTCTACTTTTATGTCTTGCATCTATACACATCTACATAAATTTAAATCTAAATTCTGTACGTGAGAGAAAACATGTGATGTTTGTCTTTCCCAGTCTGGCTTATTTTGATTAACATAATGATCTCCAGTCTCGTCCATTTTCCTACAGCTAGATAAAATTCTATCGTGTATATATACCACATTTCCCTTATTCATTTGGTGACTCTAAACTTCTAGCGTGGTTTTCTATCTTGGTTACTGTGAATAGAGCACCAACAAACATGAATTGGTAAGTATCTCTGTGGTGTGCTGACTTATATCCTTCCAGTAAACATCCAGGATAGGTATCTGGATTAATTAGCTCTCTTTTTAGTTTTTTTGAGGAACTTCCCTTCTGATGACCATAGTGCCTGCACCAGTTTACCCGTTCACATCCCCACCAGCAATATATAAAGCTTCCTTTTGCTCCACATTTCTGTCAGGTGTTTGTTGTTTTCTGAATTCTACCTATTATGACTGAGATTTAATCTCTACTCTTTTTGAGACAAGGTCTCACTATGTACCTGTGGGTGGTCTGGAACTCATTATGTAGATCAGGCTGACCTCATACTTACAGTGATTTTCCTGCCTCTTCCTCCAGAGTACTGGGATTAAAGACATGTCCTACTATGCTTAGTCTCTATGTTTTAATTTCCATTTTCCCGATGGTTAAGGATATGAAACACTTCATAAAGTATTTCTTGTTTTTTCAACTTCTTCCTTTGAGAAATGCCTATTCAATTAATCTCTCTCTCTCAGCTTTGAGCTTCTGGTAGAGTCTTTAGGGTCTTTGAAGTACAAGATTTTGTTGTCTGCAAATCAGGATAATTTGACTTCTTCCTTTCCTATTTTTTCCTTTCTCTTGTCTTATTTCTCTAGCTATGACTTCAAGTACTTTTGTAGTCAGAAGATTTCCTGTGTTCTGGCCTGCTGGCATTCCAGACAATTCTCTCCCACTCGTGTCCCCCAAGTAAACACACAAAGGCTTATATTAATTATAACTGCATGGCCATGGCTCAAGCTTTTTGCTAGCTAGCTCTTAT